ACTAGACCATTCAGTCTTCTGCAGTATAGCCTTGCAACTGTGAATTCAGTTTGTACCATACTTGCACCCAGATATTCTTAAAATCCACTGGAACACAGAAGTAGGTCTTTGAAAATCCTCCTTGGAGTTTACTAAACTTCTCTGATGTTTTCACCCTGACCACATAAATGAAATCTTTATTAGAAAGAAAGGTGATTAGGACCATTTTCATAACAATGATAAAGAGTGCCTGACAGATTTACTTTTCTTCTAGGCAACTTTCCAGCCAAAGTCAACAGCTAACAAGAAGTCTATCTCTGAATTCACGTTGGAGGATAACACTGACTAATTAAGTGTTCCTCAAACATTTCAAGGAACATTCAGATTTTCTGACTGATCCACTCCAAGCACTTCTCTATACAGAGATACTACAGTTGAGTATAACTGAATAAATTGAGGTTTCTTTTCTTTTTAAGGCATCCTCAATCTAAGTTCTAGCATCCTAGTCCACAGTAAATAGTCTTCCTTGATACAGGAGTTACTCGTTTTCACAGTAACTTCCATCATTTTAAGGTTCACTTAGGTGCATTTCTAAATACTGTGCCCTGGCAATCCTCTAACTTACTCACATACAGATAGAAATGTTTAAGTATCCGTGTACTCCGATGAAACACAGCTTTTTATAAAAAAAATCCTTAAAGACAGACAGGATACTTCTGTTTGATGAATTAACACACTCAGAGTAAGGTACAGTGGCAGTGCTGTCCTCATGCTCCTCATAACTTGTCCACAATCCCCTGGATTTGACTAAAATCCTGTCTAGAAAGCTATCTATTCATTCCCCAACCACACAGATGTCCATAATAGATGGCTCACGGAAACACTGCAGAGAATTGGCATATGGGAGCCTGCTGCTACCTGATATACCCATTCCAAAAAGTTTTATTTATTCAAATTCTGTGTTGCAGCAACTACAGGCACACAATTTCTAACTGACAATATGTGAACACTCACCTACCTGCAGAAGGCCACAAATATACTTTAATTAAGATTACCAAACCACACAAGGGCTGCAGTAGCAGTGTCATGCCAAAGCAGAGGAGATCTAACCAAAGTACCGGACAACCGGGCTCTTCTGTAAAACCCTCCCAGGAATCACACTAGTGAGCACTGAAACCTCTTGCAGCCCCACATCTGTGGAGGAAGGCTTCTAGGTCTCCCCTGCCCTGGGCAACCATGTCAATGCAACAGATCCAGATGTTTTACACTTACACACACTCAATTCACTCATGTACTGAAATCTCTGTTAGGACAGCCCTATCCGAACCCAGACATTATATAAAAGAGTTCAGTATGATCAACTGTATTATAATACAACCACATGAGATGATTAAAATTACTTTTTCCAGGTGCCAGATATCTGCCATCATGTTTGGATAAAATCAGGAATATCTTACTCCCTGCTGAGCTTCTAATCCTGCCTCCTCAGAATATGTCAAAAATGATAACCATGGCAGACACTTACACTTGATATCTTTATTTTCTCAGTAGCATCAAAATCTACAAACTGCAGTTCTAGTTGTTGTCTCCCTCTCCTGAAGTGCCTTTCCTATCCCCCACAGTCCTCCTCACCTCCCCCAACATGTTGACACAGGGGAGTTTTAAAAAGAAATCAGAATGAAGTACATTGCACAGAAGGGAGATTTATTTTAGCATAGGCACATAAGAAGAAACATTGAGAAAACTACTTGAATGCAGGAACTCTATTAAGTTCTCTCAGCTTTTATCTAAGTTGAGATACTTGCTTCGTAAGATTTCAAGTAAAAATGTTTTTAAATGCAGAGTTAAGGTACACAGTGCCTGTGTACAACAAAAACTGCAGAAACTTAGTAATTTTGCAGGACATTTTATGTTGATCTGTGGGTGTCCAAAGACATTACTGCAAAAAGTGGTCTATTTAGGAATATGCGGCATAATGCAATCCAGCTCTTTCAAAACTATCCATACAGGTATTACTTCTTTGAAAGGAAGTAATATCTCATCAGAATGGAGGGAGTATTGATCTCGTAAATGGCAACATACAGCATCGTCCCAACCTTCCACCTTCAGTTCTGTCACTGTAACATATATTCAGAGTGTATTTTCTAAACTGTTTTTTCTTCCTCTTTTTGTCCCATAGGATCAACAAAATGCTTACTGTATTACCAACAAAACAACCCATGCACCAAATTGACAGAAAACAACCTGGTAAAAAATTCAGACCATCAGAAAAATCTATGGAAAAAAAAAATAAAATGCTTTTCTTTGTGAAAGGAAAAAAAAAAGATTAATTGTAGAATATCATATAATGTTCATATAATGAACAACGCATGAAAATAATGCTCAATTACCAACCCCATGCAACAGTGAAAACCCGAAGTAGCAGAGACTAAATTCTCTCACAGTCCTTCTACAAGTTTTCTGTTTATAAAACAAAGAAGATACAGGACACTTATTTCAACCACGTAAATTTGCACTGCACCACAGTAAGTTAATTTCAGGTGCTGCCTAAGTTTGCAAGACTGCTCCTGTCTGGTTTCAGACCTGCCTTACATAATAACCTTCACGTGATTCAGCACTCTCCATCAATTTCTCAGTACCCTCACACAGCTCCCCTCACAGCTCATAAACACCACCCTTTCTTCACACCCTTCTCTCTCTTCCTTTCTTTACCATCACAAATTCCAACAACTTAACTGATGACATCTAACCCTGTAAGAACTAAAAAAAAAAAAGGGGGGGGAGATTCTTAAAAAACCACAACAGTGAAACCAAGTAGATGTGACTGCTTTTTTTTTTTGTCATCTGTATCTCTCTGAAAAAAAGTTAATTATAAAATATAACAAAACAGCATATAAGGTGACCAAAAATACACCGCAAACTTACTATTTTTGACTAAATGGTTGACTAAACGGTTTCTCACTGATACAAGGCATTAAGGATAACAAGAAACAAGAAATCCTCTCAGTTGAGGGGAAGGGGGAAAAACCTTTTTCTAGACCCAATCCAGGCAGCTTCCCACTGCCAACTGCAGACTAGCTTCATCATCCATCAAGAAGATGAAATATGATCCACCTGTGATTTTTATCAGTTTCGGCAAAAAAAGCTTTCAAATGAAAAATATTTTTGGACTCTTTCAGGCTCTTTTTCATGCATATAAGAATTAAGGAAATATCCAAAATTATTATGGAAAAAAAAAAAAAAAACAACTTTGGACTAGGATCTATAAGGAAGCTCATAATGAGATCAAGTAGCATAGTATCCTTCCCAGGTGAGGCCAACCTGAAGAAAAATTATTGGGGTTTTGTGGGGTTTTTTCTTTGCAGAAGTCAAAATGCTCTGTTGTCAGCTCCAAACAATGCTCTCGTGCTTGCAACTGGAATTGATTTAAATAATCTCTGCATGGTAAAACTCTTGAGATATACACAAGAAACAGGTATGTTAGAATATCAGCACATTGCATACATACAAACAGAAATTGCTTTCAGTAAGTGAAGCACAGATCACACATTTTACTGCCATCCATGCTCTTGAAATGGAACTGCAAAACAATCAGAGCTTGCATTTATTTTAATTGCAGATAATATTCTGAGCCACGCTGAAACACTCTACGCCTGTGGAAATATATATAATCATTTACATTTCACCCTGAACTCTGAAAATGCAGGGAAAATAATTTACAAATCATCTATCACTTCTTCTAAAAATGAGCCATTAGAATAAAAGCCAGAAAAAATAATTCAAGTCACAAACTATTCTGAAATGCTTAACATGGGAAGAGTACAAACAACAGAAACTACTGCAATAGATGTTTAATTGATTGATTTCAACACTCATTTACAGCAATCTTTAACTCTCCGAGAGCATGTAAGAAGTAAGAATAGATGAATGCTTTTATTGTTGTAACTTTTAAACTACAGGGGTTATTTCTGAAAAAACTACTTCAACTCCAAAACGGCTTGGTGCAAAAATGACACTCGTGCAACTTCTGCTGGAGCAGGGGCTTTACAAGACAATATGAACAATTTTCCTAGGACCCTCTGATTGGACCTCTCCTTCCATATGCCAGAACACACTCATTTCAGTTCACTCTTCTACCCTTTACTTACCCTGCCTTTCTCCCCTTCCACCCCCCTAAATGGGAGGAGTTGTCACAGGATATTTCAGAACATACTTACAGTCCCTATAAAATGCAAAGAATACAGAAAATGTTTCTCTAATGCCGGTATATACATGGTATTGATGTCTTTCCAGAGTGAGGCCTCACTATTTGAAATACGCATTTATGCACACTTTTAAGGAAAACAGCTGCTTAAGACCACACAAGTATCTACTGTGTTACATGCTTTCCTGCACCTCTGTCTCAGTCATGAACTTCAAATTATTTCACCTGACAGTATAACAACGCTAACTATTTTTGACAATATTGCTGTAAGAAATTTTCTAATTTTATTCATTTAAAGTCCTGATACCTCTACATGGACTTACAGATAAGACAGCTATACTAACAGGATTTTTTCCTGTCTTACATAAGAATGTTATCTAAAATACTGAAAGGGACTTTAAACAATTTGGCATCTGTGAAATAAAAAGCAACCTGAGAACATTTTTCCTAGTACAAGTCCAACGCCTGCGCAGCAGCTTTCAAGCGGTTATGATTCTCTCAATACTCACACGTATCCAAATATCTATGCTCACATAAGAAAAACTGATGCAATGGATAACAATAATAAAAAAAAAAAAATCTAAAATGTGTCAAGTTAATTGATCTGTCATTTCAACAAATGGTGTGAAGATTTATTTCCACTTAGATTTATAATAAATTGTACATATTGAACATTTCCATTAAGACTCAATTAATATGCCAAAAAGTAATTGCAGGTAAATACTCCAAACTTCTATTGAAATTAATCTATTTTAGAAATTCAATCATTTATGACAATACGTTTTAAAAAAAAAAAAAAAAAGCTGCATATACAGACCTTCCAGTAGTCAGATTGTAAACTGTAGTACCTCTGGTATGCAGATAATGCTGTAGGAAAGAAAAATGAATGTTGAATTTGTTTTGTTGCATTTTCTTTGAAGAAAAAGATAGAAAACCTTAAGAGTCAGAATATACAACATTAAAATGACAAATGGTTTAATAAAAGTAACACTGCCACAATAAGTACACTGTTGTGGGTAATGCATTCCTTAAGATTATAATTTTGTTTTATGAAATGTCAACCCGAAAGTATATTTATTATTAATCTTACAAATGTAAATCAAGCAATATTTTAAAGAAAACCTATAACAAAGAAATCATTTGAAATTTTGTGATTTTCATCCTGGACAAAGCTGCTGTAAGATTTAAAAATTTAATCATGTAGCTCATTTACCATGCTCCCTGATGTCCTGTAATTTCTAAAGAACTGGTGTGGAGGGACATACAAAGAGAAATCAATTTCACATGCCCTTTCATTCAGTAACTAGAGAAACAAAAGCAAGCAGAAAAAAGCTTACATTTTATTCAACATCTAAGACCAAGACTAACCTGGAAAACAGCACTAAGAACAGCTCTGTTCAGTAGAATATTAGCTCTACTTAGCAACGAATTTCTCAAATCACCATTCTTGAATCCCTCTTCCCCACTAAAAATTCTGGTTGATTTATCCTGCCCTTCGGCTAACAAGCCACGTCAGACTAGAACGCAAACAGGCTTTACGTTCTTGTAAGAACATTGCACTAGGTACCATCCAAAAACAAAGACTTTTAAATAATGATTCACTGCAGTAACACCAAGATTTGGATTTCTGAAGTGTTTGCTTCTTAAGATTTAAGAATGGTTTCTACACAGTATGTATTTTCCAAGTAACGAAAGACGACAACCTCTGCTTTGAAAAACTATAAACACTAAACAAACACTAAACAGATTAAGATGGTAAGAACAATATGTACTTTATGTGCAGGTTCATTTCCTGCAAGTAACATAGATAAATGATGTCCCTAAATTTTATCACCCTTCAATGGCTGTCTTGCACATTCATTTTCATAACTTAACAAAATTCCTTAAGTTTAAGCGAAGTAAGAACAACATACACATAATGACAAGGCACACAGACAAGGCACATACCTTTGCACCCATCTGTCTATGGAGACTCACAACCTTGTATTTTTAAATGCCTAACCGATACATGCTGAATCATGCCCATAAGGTGCCCCTCGCCACTGGAACTGCTTGTGAAGCCAGCTTCTAATTTTGGTGCTCTAAGCTGTGATTTATTTAGATGCCCAGAGTAGAAAAAAACCTAGCAAAACACTCATCATCCTTACGCTATCAACATGCAATATGTGTGAATGCTTACATGCAACTTAGACGAATAAAACCACTTAAAAATCTAGTCAGTCAGGCTAAGTCTTTCAGAACTTAAGAATACAATTCCTCCCCCACTCACCCAAAAAAATGTGGTACAAACTGAAGGATATGACTGCAGTCTTAACAATGTAAGTTTAAGAATGTTAAGACTAAGCATATTTCAGTCACATTCTGTAATTATGTTTAAAAGGATGTTAACAATAACACAAAATAACCTCCTACCCCAAATACTCCTCCTAGATTCACTTTCTCCCAGATATTATTAAAGACACTTCGACAGAAAGGCATAATTAGTTTTTGAATGTGGGAATGACTTTGCTTTCCCAAATAGGAAAACACACATGCACTCTTACCACACAGTTTTGTAATGCACCACACTTAAATAAAAGGAATTTTTTTTTTTTACTGAAGTAGTAGCTATCCCAATTTTAAAGGTTAAAGCATATTTCAAATACTTAAGTCAACAGCACCATATTATGCAAGATTTAGGAAACTGAGAACTTCTTGTAATCTATTATTTTTTTTTAAAAAGTAACTATTGCAGTCAATTTTACAGGGGATATGGATAAAATAAAAAGATGAAAAGAACATTAAGTACAATGCTAAGGATTTATACTGGAAAAATAAGATGGAGAAGTTTTTCAGTGTAGCTGTTAAAAAAATACAGAAGTACCCACATGAGCATATCCATTAAACAAGAGAGCTGAAATATATACTTCCCCATAGCAGTTAAGGTACTGCTAATAAGTTTATAAAACATCAGCAGTTTAAAAAAAAAAATACAATAGAGAAGCAACAGAAGACCTAAAAAGGAAAGAAAAGAAAAGAAAAAAAAAAAGAGAAAAAAAACACCTTACTGCTATACAGTGACCAAAACATTCCTTATGCAAGTATAGCAAAAATGTGTACAGCTCAGGCCTTTCTTCTTGCTCCTAAACTCTAGCTAGTCAGAGTGTGTGCAGCCCCGTTCCCCAGCCAAACAGAGACAATGGAACAGAAGTGAGCAGCACTGAAAAAAGGGAAAGAAGACATCTGAAGGTATTCACTCATTCAGACCCGATAAAGCCCCGTGTCAGGTGAGGAGGAAGATTGGGAGGCACAGGAAACTGTGCTCCACTAATGTCACTGCTCGTAAAGAAACTTGCCCAGAGAAGTTCTAGCACCTCCATTTAATAGAGGGAAAAGTTCTTGTATTAAAGAAAGGAGTCTTTGCTCCATGATATTCTACCAGTTTTCCTTAGAGTGCTGATGTTTGCAAATTATTTTCTTTTCTAACTCTTCCATTCTTCAATAAAGTTTAGCAACTTCCCATAGTAACAGTTGAAATGACTGCTTTAATGTGCCAGGCTCATGTTACGCTTAACTACATGGAAAGCATGGACTGCTGAAGCATATTTCATGTTTACACGATAAGAAGGCAAGGCTTTCATTCTAAGGAAGGTCGCATTACTCTTCCAGAGGAAGAAAGATGACACTACAGTCCTCCTCTTAGCTGTCTGAAGCATCCAATCCTACTTCTGGGCTCAGCAACCTCTCCTAGGGATCCAGCCTTTCCTTCTAGGGTAACAGTATTTTGCTTCTACTTAACTTCTTGAAGATGAAATACTAAAATTCTCAGTGTTGTCCTGAAAACGCGTAACAATGAATCATGGAGGATCCCTTATACACGAGCTAAACATCCCTTTCCTCCTCACGGAAGTTAGACAACTAGAAACTGTTATTGATGCACAATTTCAGTATTTAACAAGTGCTCATCTTACAGTTTGTTAGTTACCTGTTGAAAGTTTATTTCAGCCCCCTTTACATGTAGATTAAACATCTGCTCCACAAGCACTCAAGCTCTGCTAAAAGGATTCAAGGAACAGGCAGAGAAACAGAAAAAAGGGAATCAAGAGAGCATTTTTTTTGCCAGAGCCTACATGAAACATCCCTAATCAAGCATATCCCTAAGACGAATCTCGCACATAAGAAGTGGCTAGAAATTAAATTATGAAAGCAAGATTTTTGAAAAACTAAAACAACCTACTAGTTTTAAAGCAGTAGAACATGAACCATAAATCTGAATCCTACCATACTTTCTACTTCCTGAGCAAGTCAACAGTGAGCAGACATTTATCCTGAGTTCTATGGTGTAGAAATAGAGCATCTTAACTAAAAAGTGTATTATGGAACTACAAGCAACTTCCCCCTTAAATTAAGTTTATAACTATAAGAAGTGAGTGCAAACCCCTCAAGTTACAAACTTTATCCTAGATTAAGAAGAAAAAAAAGAGCAAGTGAATCTGCTGAGCAACAAAAATTTTACAGAAGTCCCTATCTGAAACATACGCTATGCTTCATCAGTGCTATGATTCCAATTATAAGAGGATACTCTCTTGTTTATTAAAAAGTGAAAAGAAAGTAAATTGTGTCACGCATCACGTAAGTAGTATTAAAGGGGATGGGGGGGGGGGGGGCGAGA